TCAGCAAACTAAATATGGAAAGAGTCATTCTTCCTCGTCTCAACGCTAAAATTAAATTTCTTAAAACATATAATCATTACTTGAATCGAATGAAGTCATTTAAGAAACAATATAACAATATATCAACACTTATGTGCAACAACTCTAGCTTTGGGTGCGACTCAATTACAAAGAAATTCACTGCTAGTGATGAAGTATGGAAAGAGTACTTAAAGGTGAGATTACTTCATAATCTTTTAAATATATTAATAGTTTACAAATTTAGTGCATTATATTATTTTCAATATATTAATAATGGATTTTTTTTTTTAGTCTCACCCAAGTCACAAAAATCTTCAAGAAAAAAGTATGGTTGATTATAAGGATTTGAAGATTATTGTTGTTGGGGGTGGAACTGCTAGTGGGCATACTTTCATTTCAGTAGACCCTAATGATACTGATGCTACAACTTTTGGAGAAGAAAATATTGATTTTGGGATGGAAAACTTTTCATATGATCTTAACAATGATATATTCATAACACCAGATCAATATGAACCACCTTACTAGCATTCATCACCTCGCCCAAGCATTTCACCACCTCAACTCCTTTTAGGCTCAAAATTTCCCACTGAAAAACCAATTAATCGTAAGCGGAGTAGGTTCGAGTATGAAGGGAGTTCTAACTTAGTTGAGAATAACAGTTAAGCCAAAGTTCTAGAAAATCTATCTGTTGGCATTGACACTATAGTCGTCAATTCTAAAAACATGTCTAACTTGATGGAGAAAAGAGAAAGATACAAAGAGGTAAAGGGAAATAATTTGAATGCTATAAAAGAGACCCCAAATTTGGATGATCGAACTCGCTACATGGCGGCTAATTTTCTTGATACTAATTGTTCGAATGGCAAGTGTACCCATTAAGAAGTAATAAAGGGTTCTTAATTTTAGTTCTCGAAATATCGTCCCACAAGGATTGTTTTTCAATTATTAAGAATTTTTCAATTCAATTGTTTGATCTTCAAATATACGAGATTAATTAAAACAAGAATTTATAAAATCAATTATAAAACTAAGAACAAGGAATAAAATACACGTCTTGGTTAAACTTATCAGAGAGGAACCTAGGGCGTTTGGACTTTCTCATTTAATCCTTTATGTTATTTTTCTGTTTAACTCTAAATTTGATTTTCTTGTGATTACCAATCATTCATCCAAATACTATTAATGCCCAATGGTCGTGCAATATTAATATCATTTTCTCTAAATTAATATCCCCAATAGTCATGCAAGACATCAATTAAAGAAAGCGTTACGCACCTATGAACTTGTTAATTTAATAATGATTAGAAGGGGGGACATTGGTTTAGTCTACCTAGTTTCTTGTCTCATTTTATCCTGTAGATCTATTAACCGAGGTATGGTTGCCTGACAATGTAATTAATTAAGAATTAAGAAAGAAGTACAATAGGGTAAAATCTAATCACGAACAGAAATCAAACTTAGATTTAAACATTAAAACCCCACAAATTCATAGACAATAGTTCTCATAGCCTTAGCTATAGACTTAGTTACTCATGTTAAGAAAAAGAGCTAAAACAATCATAAACACATCCATAATGAAGAGAAATAGCAAACTAGAAAATGAGATGAATTTTTTATCTTTAAGTATGGTCGCTTGAAGCTCCAATTTCTGTCAAGAGTATGCCAAGGATCCATGTAAGAGAGACGAAAATGATAGATATCTTGAAGAACTAGGATTGTATGTAAAATAGTGTCAAAAGAATGTCCCATGACGATGCTTCTGCTCTCCTTTTTTATAAGGTTGAGACTCCTTTAAACCTATTAAGATTGGGTTTCCCACAAACTAGCACGGCCATGCAAGATAATAAGCACGGTCGTGCATTCCCTCAAAGCACCCCCATGCTTCTTGGGCGTGCTTATTGCTGCGAGACTCTAATCTTTCTCAATTTGGACCCAAAATGCACCAAAAATCTACTTCTGGCTTCCTTCTACCAAACTGCGCAATCAATATATAAATTTGTGTAAAATCTTAATGAAATAAAGATCAAATATGAATATATAGCTGTAAAATTGAGCCAAATTACAGATTTATCACTAATGCAAAGTACAAGCTGGGATGAACAATATTGCTTTGGTGTTATTTTAGTTACACTTGATTGGAGTATTTTCTTTATAATTTAGTTCTGTATGAATACATGTTGGATTTGTCAAACAATATTTTTTTGGTGTTATTTCAGTTGAACTTGATTGAAGTATTTACTTTATATTTTGGTTGTGTATGAACACATTTTGGAACGGTGGAACTATTATTTTGGTCGTACTTGATTGAAATATTTTAGCATGTTTTATTTTTTTATTATATTATTATCTTTGGTTATATTGTTTTATATAGGTATAATGTCACATTCAAGCATGTATGAAGGTAGTGACATAGATGAAGAAGAAATGGGTGACGAAGAGATAGATAACGAAGAATTTTATGAAGCCATGTATGCATATGTAATGACAACATATGCATTAATGCATGTGTTGATTAAGTTTCTAGTTATGATACATAATGAACAAATTAAGCGTCCATTAAATTGACAATGAATTACTAACATGAAAAATGACTATATACACCGAGCATTAAACGATGATCCTATAATATTTTAACAAGTTTATAGGATGTATCTAGATATATTTTGAAAGTTATGTGTAATTCTTAGAGAAAAAACACCTCTAGAAGATACACGATATATTTGTGTTGAAGAAATGCTTGCATCATTCCTACAAATTGTTGGTCAGACTACTCAATATTGTGTAATTCGTAACACATTTAGCCGATCACAATTTGCTACAAGTGAAAATTTTCACAAGATTTTGAAGGCTTTGAATACGATAGCACTTACTTTAATGGCTAAATTAGGATCAATTGTGCCAGCTAAAATTAGATAAAACACAAGGTTCTTCTCTTTCTTCAAGGTATGTACTAATTATCTTACAATAAAAAATTATAATTAAATTTGACACTACTATATTTATATTTCTCATACAATAAAGTGTTATACATGCTAAATTATAGGATTGCATTGGAGCTATTGACAGGAAACACATTCCAGCAATGGTGAAGGGGCAAAATGTAAGTAGTTATCGTAATCGTCATGGAAAGATATCACAAAATGTATTAACCGCTTGTAATTTTGATTTGGAGTTCATGTACGTTCTTAGTGGGTGAGAGGGTTCAGCTTATGATTCTAAGCTACTAGAGGATGCTATAACAAGGAAGAATGGACTTAAAGTGGCTCAAGGTAAGTGCTTATTTTTTAAATGATAACAACAACAACAATAATAATAATAATAATAATTTTATTATTATTATTATTATTATTGCATATGTAATTAGGTAAATATTTATTGGTAAATTGTGGATTTCCTAACTGACGCCACTTTTAAGCTCTATTTCAAGGTGATGTCATCGAAAAGATTTTGCAGGTAAGGGTAATAACCCTAAAAATGAGAAAGAATTGTTCAATCTTTGTCATGCGTTTTTAAAGAATGTAATCGAGAGAATATTTGGTAATTTTAAATCAAGGTTCACAATTTTTAAGTCAGTATCTCTATTTTATTTAAAATACAAATAGAACTTGTGTTAGCATATGCAACACTATATAACTTTCTTCACAAAGAATATCGTTCTGATGAATTTCTAATTGAACCAATGAACGACGCTTCATCTTCAATATTACCCGTTAATAAAAATAATAATTTTGAGCCTATTATTCAAACCTAAAAGCAAGAGTGAGAAAACGTTAATGCTTTGAGGACTTAGTATAGTTATGGATATGTGGGTGAATGCTATTTAAGAAGACATGATATTATGAAGAATTATTATTATTATTTATCCAGACATTATTGTTTTCTATTATTTTTGTCTTTGACTTTTTTAAATTTGAATGTATGAAAAAATCTTAAACTCTTTATGTCAAAAATTCATGAAATTTTGCAAAATTCACAAAATCCTGTAAAATCTATTAAAAGTCTGACTTAAAAATTTTGCAAAATCTATTAAAATTTTAATTTTAAAATCTTGCAGAATCCTACAAAGTCTTAAAAGTTATAAAAATCTTACAAAGTCTTTTACAATACACAAGAATTTTGTAACTAAAAAAATTCTTTAAAATCCTAATCCAATACACCCTCTTAACTTAATGTCAAGAAATTCCAACACTATCTCTCTCCATATAAAAGAAAATATTAAGGGAAAATACATGGTGCAAAATAATTAAGAGTGTATGTAAAACCCTTACTATGTATACTAGTTCTAGTTAAAATAGATCATTAATTCAGTATTTATAATTTATGGTTAAATCCTTGTAATATTCTTAAATGAGAATATATAAAAATATAAAATCTTTATAATACTTAAAAGTTTGTTAAATTAATTATTAAAAATTTAAATATATTTTATTAGTCCACTCGCATGCGACTTCAAGGGAACAAGTTTAAACACAAAAAATTAATGTATAGTTTGACATCCAAAACCCACTGTTTCTGGTCAATATATCCAACTCACATTCAGTTTTGAAAAAAACAAATTTATGGACCCCAAAGAACTCCAAAGCCCACCAATGGATGACCCCACGGGCTGCTTGAACAAGCGAGGGAAATAACGTTTCATGTGTCTTTGGTCTGAACAACCCAAAGGAAAATGTCAACATCATTTTCAGTAATAAATTTTCATTAAAAAAATATTTATTACATAAAAAATACCATAAATATTTCTCTATTTAATAAAAATGTTCTACTTTTAAATGTTTAAAACCAATCCAATCATAAGAAAACCGAAAAAAAAAATAGGTGCAAGAAACCCTTCTCATCTCCAAAAATAGTGTCATAGATAGCAACTGATTTACATTCACGAAAATTTCAATTTGTGAAAAGTGTTGTAATGAAATAGACATAAAAGAAATCAGAATTTTAAATTATAATTTTACAATAACATCGTTTTTGGGTATAACAAGCTCCACTAACAAAGCATGCATGGAAAGAGTCAACGTTGATATTTAAACTGCATCTCCTTGGCCATGGAAGGTAGCCACCTCTCTCCCCTAACCTTTTTCAAATTTTCAACCCTTTCCTCTTCTCTCTTGGCTGCAGCTTTTGCTGCTGCATCTTTTGCTTCAAATCTAGCTATTGACTTCTTGTATGCATCATTTGCTGCAGCCATTATATCTATCCCATCAACAGCAACAGATAGAATCCGTCTTCTGAACTGTTCATGTGGCATATAGTCATTAAGAAATTAACCGAATATGACAAGGAAACATTGACATCTACATATTAATCAAGTATTAGACCTTCTTTGATTTCTCATTAGCATCTGCTCCAGGAAGTATTCTAGGTCGCTTCTTTGGTGGTTGAGGTTCATCTGCAGCCATATGCAAATACAAGCCTAAGCCACACATACAGATGCAGTTTGGGAATGTCTCAAGCATCACAAGGTTGATAACTATTTAGCCCTTTACAGAATATTTTATTAATATTTGAAAGAAGAAAAGAAATTGTTTTCAACTTTGATCGTTAAAGTCATTGACTGTAACCAATTTATGTGAATGTAAAAATCTAAAATCATTCTGGCTGCAATCCGGGCTGGACACCTCATCATAGCAAAATGTGGTAAGTATTGAATTCAACATTCAAGGTTGTGTTTAGTCCTCAAACCAATAATTTGTGAGAAAATATAACAAGCATTAAACAAGTTGTTTATGACTTTACTCAACTTAGATGGTTTTTCTATAAACATGTGCTAGTAGTATATAACTACGAATTTCTTCAAACTTCATGATTATATGGTCCACCTGATAACCTGGACCACTATTCTGGTTTAGTTGGCCAACATCTGTGCAACACCAAAGTGCCATAAGTCATGGCAGAGACCCCCAAGCATGCTTCTCTGTGGCTAGTGAGTGACTAGTGCATAATGACTGACAACTAGTTAGTGGTTAACTAACTAGTAAACGGATAATTGACTTGCAGTATCGCACAGTGACACCTCACAAAGAAGTGTTAAAATAACTATAATCTTCTGAATTCTGATGTGAACAATTAAACAAAAGATTGCAGAGTTGAAAGAGATGCATGGCATGCTGATCTGGGCTCCACTTATCAACAACTGGCACTGGGTGCGTGTGCACCATTCTGAAAAAGTAGTACCTTTTTTGCTAACACCAAGCTACCAGAACCAGAAGTTGCTTTTACCCAATGCAGCTTTTTTCATATTTCAGATAAATTTTTATATGCATGGCAAGAACAATGGTGATTAGTGACCTACTGCCACAAACACCAATTTACCAAAGTAAAGCAAAGTAGGAACCAGAAAATTTATCCCAAATCTAAAATCAACCATTTATAGATATAGCAAACAACAGCAACTGATGTTAAGCTATGAATTGTACCTCACAAGGCTCACTCACCTACGTGATCAAACACTATTCCTGGTTGAGCATGTTTAAACAAGCGAATGCCGCATTCATTGACCTTGGGATCCTCATCCAGGACAGGGACAGGTTCTTTCACTATCTCTATCGATTTTTCCAATATCTCATTCAGAAGCTTTTGTGCCTGTCAAGAACCATCCACAGTATAAATCATCAATTCTAAAGACCATAACACGCACTGATCAGAGTTGCATAGCAAAAGTCCAAATGACACTTGTACTGATAAACAATAATTTGAAACAAAAACCAAAGGGGCTGCCACAGCAACTTGCTACTGGTTCAGAATTTAAGCCACCCCATAATCTTAATTGTAATTCTACTAGAAAAAAGATGCGAACTTTATAAACAAATGTTCATTTTGTGTTGTGGGCATAGACAAACGGAGGAAAGGGTTCTTTGCTTCTTTTTTCAAAAATCAAAATTTGCAACTTCAACAACCACACGTAGACGAACCCCATTGGCAGAAAAATGCGAAATTTAGAGTAAAACCTTGATTTGGTAGTGCTTAATCTGTTGGGTTTTGGGTTTATGGTGTCGATCATCAGTATCATCATCGTGTTTATTGGAGTCGCTGTGTTTGGTGGCGGAACGGCCATTCGTGAAGGAAGCGATGTAAGTGTTAGTGGTTCCAGCGATAGAGTCGATGGCTGCTTTCCAAGCGGCATCACCATCTTCTTCGCCACTACTGCTGCAGTAGCTATTGTTGGTTTCTTCTTCTGCCATCGTTCGCTTTCGGGTTTCGCTCAACACAGGACACCGTCAGTCTGCGAAGATAGCACAACATAATTGGGCTTTCTTTGGGCTACGAATCATTGGGCCCTGTTGGAAGCAACTCTCTAGGTTTTTTATAAAAGTTAAAGCTTTATAATGTGGGAAACTATTCTCTAGAGCTGTGAATATTGGCTAAAATCCACACCTATCCTGTGCAATCTATTACAGAATTTCATATTTTTTAAGTCTTATATAAAGTAGATTTACTATATATATATATATATAGGATGAGCTATAGATTAGCTTACTTAATTAATAAACATTATGTTATTTTTTTTATAAAAAATACATGTGTTTGTTTATATTTTTATTAAATTTATTTATTTAAAATTAATTAAAAATATATTTTAAAAATAAAAATTATATTAAATTAAGTTATTCTACTTTTAAAAAAATTATATCAAATTTAAATGAGGCAAAATTTTAATTTTCAAATATTTATTAATTTTTATTAAGTTTATGAGTTATTTTTTATATTCATAACTTTTATAATATTAGCTATCATATATTTATAATTTATATAACGAGGGTATTATATTTTTTAATATATTAAAATTTATTTAAATAAATAATTTTAAACATTTTAATAATAGATAACTTAATAAATTTAGTTAGCATTATTTTTTATTAATTTTATGTCTCTATTGTTATTTAAAAATTTTATTCAACATGTGATATTCTTAAAACAAATTTATAACATAAATAAATAAACAATGATAATATAAAAATATTACAATATAAAAAATTTTATGATAAATATTCAAATAAAATTATAAAATAATATGTTAAAAATTATTTACAAAATTATATGAATAAAAATGTTATTATAATTTAATAATTATAAAGAATACTAACAAATATTAGATAAATATGTAACTTAATTTGATAATAAATTATTATATTTTATTTAATATTATTTAACAAAAATGATTAATTTTAAATATTTAATATTATATAATTTAATTTTTATTTATCTATTTTTAAATAATTTTATTTATTTATAAATTTATAATAAAAAATTATTATATAAAATAAATATTTTAATAAATTATAATAATTTTTTTAAAAATTGACTTTTTAAGTTAGTCAAATTCTATGGTTTTTTTAATCTTGTTAACTTTTTAAATTTCTCCATTTCACAACTATACTCTTCTCTGACCTGATTACAAAATAATAATGTGAGGTAATTGTTCTATAGTTGAACAATAATAATTTTTTGAGATTGATTGAAAAAGAATAACGAGTGATATATTAAAAAAAGTATAAAAGTATACAAAGATTAAAAATAAGTAAATTGTGAAAAAAGAAAAAGGCAATGTCATGTTCAATCATTTAATATAAAGAATAAAGAATTATTGTGATCTTTAAAAAGTTATATTAATTACTTTAGTCCCCAAAATTAAATAATGTGAAATTAATTGGTTAATAATAAAAATTATATTAAAATTAGATAAATACTGATCAATATACTAAATATACTAATTAAAAAAATAAAAAATCATCTTTTATTTTTTTTAATATATTTTAATGTGTTTTTAATTAAATTTAAATTTATTTTTTTATCATTATTTCTTAACACTAATTAACAAGATTCTTAAAATGATTTTTGTGGGACTAAATTAATGACAATAATTTGTGATTAAATTGACTACCATGTTGCATGGCATGGGTAGTTGAGGAGCACAATTCCATCCGCGACTTTTGATTCCCACTAAGTCATTCATGTTGCTGTAATTGACCCGATCTATCATAACCTTCCCACATGGGGTTTGGACCACTTAGTCCAAATTTAGCCCTCATAATTTTTGTCATCATAATAAAAAAAATTATAATTTATTATTTAGCCAATGAAACTATTTAGCAATGCTCTTTTAATAGAGCTTGTGAAGCTAAAGTGCTATAAGAAAATTTGCCGAGTCGTTTAATAATAGTTTTAAAAAAATAATATAAAAGGAGCAATCTTTAATAATGGTTATTATGGTGAGTTTGATAGTTAGAGTTTGAAGGAGGACAATTTTTTTTATTTTTAATTATCATTATTTTTAATTATCATTTTTTTATTTCATATCTTTTTAAAATTAAAGTTATAAAATATAAATCAATATATATTTAATGTGCTATTTTTTATATATTTTATAAATGTTGTATAATTTTTAAATTAAAAATAAAATGTTTATCTTTTCTTTCCTTTTTTTTTATAGTAAAACTCTTCAAAACATATTTTTAAGAAAATACTAATTTTTACTTTTTAAAAAATTTAATAACTTATTTTTTTTAAGTTTTTCTGAGAATGAGAATTTCAAAGAAAATAAAAGAAAAAAACATATTTTGTATTTTAAATAAATATATTTAAATTATTTTTTAAAATAAAATATATAAAATGATATATTGACATAAATTAAATGTATTAATCATGTATTTATTATTATAAATGATATACATTTTTTAATTTGAAATAAAAAAATGTGTCATCTCTTTCTTTCCTCTTCAAACAATTCCTTCCAAACATACGAAAAGTATTGTCAAAGACATACCATTACAAATATCTTAAGGAAGCTTTATCCTTTGATCTTTAAAAAAAACATAATTAATTATGTCTTTAACATCACTTTTCCAATGCTCCTCTACGAGAAGTTTTTAATTTATTTTTACAATTAAAAGTTTCATTATTTTAATTTTCAGTACCTTTCTTGAATTTCATTTTTTAATTCTTTTAAAATTTTAGTTTCACATTTCTACATTTGTTAAATCATTATATCAAATTAGTTCTACAATAAAAAAGTGAAATTGATAAAGTGTGGGAGCTGAATGGGTAAAGGGTAATTGGTTTTCTGTATTGGATTGGCTTGAAATTCCTTTTTTCAATCACTTTCCACTTCAAATTTCATTCACTTTCTTTGTTAATTTTGGTTTAGCTTTGTGTTGAATCTTTTGGCAAATGTATTAATTGATCATATAATCAGTGATGAGTTGATTTATTATATTCAACAGAAATAGATAGATATTACTATAATTTCTATTATCCTAATTAAACGCTTAACAATAAATATTGAAAATTGCACATATATTAATGAGTTGAGTTTTGTAAAATTGAAGACAATAGATACTAATAAGATCTAGTAATAGAAATATTAAAATTTAAGAAGAGAATTTGTGACATGTCAAGCCTTGACAAAGTTCTTTGCTTTAAATCAAATTAAACCACATGTTTCACTGCTTGTGTGGGCTCCTGTCAATTTCTTTGAGTTTCATTCTTGCAAACATAGTCCTCAAGCAAGGTACTTAACATCTTAGCTACAACATTGCATAGGTCAATATATACAACACATATATCCATCGTTTACGACTAGGACTATTAGGATATCTAATCTCATTCAATCATCTAGCTTTTATCTCTCAGTGTTAGTGTCTTATGAATTGATCTTATCTCTTTAAAAATCAAAATTAGAATTTGTTGAATAATAATTGAATAAGCACGGATTGAATTTCACCATTTATTCTCTTCCTTATTCTAATGACTTAATATAGAGAAATCCCTCTTATAGAAGTAAATGCATATATATTTTCTCTTGTAGCAATTCTTCACATACAAGTTCCTAAGAGTATTTCTTGAATAACGATTCCTCAATTATTCAATGAATCTTCTAGCATTAAAAACAAGTATAAAAAAGTAATCAATATATTAATATTTCTCTCTAGTATCACAATACACTGAATGAGTTTCACTCAATTTGGAACTAAAGATAACTTTCGAGCTAATCATTGGGTCTTAAATCAAGATACTATTAATTAAAATAGAATCAAGCATTAGGAATAAAATGAAATCCACCAACATCTATAGAAATAAAATAAAAATATACATAAATCATCAAAATATATCTAAATTAAAAATTAAAATCCAATTTCAAAAGAAGTTTAGCTACTCATGGTAACCATTACAACAAAAGAAAGAGATAAAAGAGAAGAGAATTAATACCCCAATGCTTCTCCACAAGATGGCCTAACTTTCTATTCTCAACTCCCTCTTCCTCTCTTCACTATTCATTTCTTATGTTTCTTCTTTCTTCAATGAGTGACTTAATGAATTTTCACTCAATTAAGGAATTTTCATTTTAGCTAAAATTGGGCAGTGACCCATTTACGTTTCATACATTTTTCCTCAAGTGAGTTACAGTAACTTAGGGAGGAAGAAAAATAAGAAACTTTTCGCTCAAGCAAACCCTAAGTTCCTGTAAAACAAATAAATCAACAAAAAAGATTAAAAAATGATCTTCATCTCTATCTCTTAGTCAAAACAATTGTTAAAATTCAAATATTTCAAAATTAGAAAGAAATTTGGATTAAATTTTAATTCATTAAAAGTTTTAAGTGTCTTAATTCACGTTAAAATTCACTATAATTTAGCACTTATCACTTTGGATCCAAAATCTTACGTTTAGATCTAGGATTAATATTCCTTCTTCCTAAAACAATAATTATTTTTGCCTTCTTGTAGGCAATGTCCATGAGTGTAGTGATAATTTAATAAAAATTGCGAGTTATGCATATGACATATATTTTAACATTTATGGTCTTTAATTGTAGGAAATGGCGTGCCATAGTTTGAACTTTGATGGTTTTGATCCATTTGTTATGCATAACTTTTAGTGCTTAGGTTTTAGTGTATCTTAAGATAACAATTTTTTAAACCACAGTTTCAAGTATCCTTATAATATAACCTTAGCAAGGTTTATCTTTAGTTTCTTATTGAACAATAAAGAAGAAAAGATTAAATTTTTAACTATTATTAAATATTACATTAAAAAAGTTATTAAAGTCTTTTTTAAGTATTAGGAAATGAAATAACATTAAATTTTTTGGACCAAATATTATTACTAATAAGCAATTTTTACAACTAAATTGATAGCACTTTTCTTTTTGAAAACTAAAACATTGTTAGTTAAAACTATGAAGGATTTTAGAT